GCGTTATTGTTGCTAGTTGTTTACCAACAAGCAACGCATCAGAACCCCTTACCGTGTGTTTTGTTGCTAGTTGCTTACAACCAAGTAACACATCGGAACCCCTTACCGTCTGTTTTGTTGCTTGTTGTTTACAACTCAGCAAACGAGTCAACGCTCTTTGACGTGCGTTTTGATTCTGGACGTTTACATACCCCAGAATATTGAACGGTAGGTTGTTTTGACGCCTAAATCGTAACCAACTTCGCACGGAATTCGAAACAACTTGTTGTGAGAATTCAGATTATTTTATTAATTCCTTAAATTACATTCAAATATTCATTAAATTGACCGCCAATAAGCGATATATCTATATACAAGAGTACTCGGGTGTAGCCGGAAACGAGCCTGCGAATACCGACATCACAAAATAAAGGGGATATGCCAAAATATGGACATATATGGAAAATTGCCTGTAAATGTGTTTTTCGCCCTCATAGCACCTGAAGGGCCAAACTCCGTTTGAAGTCTGTATCTAAATCTTCAAAATATAGAAATTAGTTCGGTGCAGTTAAATGGACCCTATCGAAAGTTACCTATATTGAATGTATTCTCCCGAGATGTTAAGTCCCCTCCGAAACTGGGTTTACCAAATTACAGCTACTTCGATTGTAAAATGCAGCGAAAACATTCAAAATAAGACAAGATCCTCATAAGGGAGCTATGCCAAAATATGTTCTGTAAAGATTTTTTTGCCCTTCACAAAACAGAAATGTTTAATTACAGCCACTTTGATTGGAAAATACACCTAAAACCTTAAAAATACATTAATTGGGACTGAAACATTGTATGGGGTTTATGTCAGAATATTTATTTTATACTTTATTTAAATTAAGGAATTTCTTACCAAGTTTAATTCATGTCAGTTCTTTAAATACATCATACACGTAACACGTCTTCGTCACATTAGTCTGATCATTTTAGCCGCCAAAACCACAATCATTATAAAACAGTTATTTATAAAACAATAAACATCGGCGTGCCCACATTCGTTGTATTTTAGGAAACTGTATCGTGAACGCATAACATTTCTTCACATGTTTAAAAATAAATGCTCATCTTTCTCCACTCAACATATCAACAATTTACTTTAATAACGATGGAAGGTATTCAATCTGTTTCAGTGTTAACATAAAACGCGTTAATTCAGTACAAAAAAAAAACAAATTACAGTTTGATCCATTCAAAACTGTTAATATATTTCTCAAACCCCAGTAATTATTTACTCACTCGGTTCAAGTTTTACAGAAAAAGTGTTTAAATTAAATAACACCGTTATAATTTCGTCATTATTTTAAAATATTAACAGCCACACGTTATTTAGGTATGTTGCAGATTTGTTTTCTTTTTGGTTTATTTCGTTTAACGACTGCATTGATGTTTACCACATAACGTAGGATTGTTTAAAGTTTTGTTCTGTGAACAGAAATGTTAAATGACATATTAAAGAACACTATTATCGATGCACTGCATTATCGACAATTGAACATAACGGATTTTACATACTGTAGCTGTGTTCCCAAACCTGCAATATAGTACTATATCATAGACAAAATAATATATAGACGACGAAATGTTCTCTTTGTTTTTCTTCGAATTTTCGAACATATGTAGATGGTGTTAGGGAGAAAGGTTTTGAGTAAATTATTTTGTCGAAAACTGAGTGATTTTTTTTTGAGCGTAACAAATTATTAAAATAAATAATGTAGATGCCACTACATCATTTTAGATAATGCACTTTGCATTTTTGAGTGTTTCTTATTATATTAGATAATGCTCTCCTCATTTTATATTTTATTATTAGGGGAAATGTAGGAGATTCGTGTTTGTATAACAAATGTTGTTGGATATATTGTCAGGTGCAGTCATTAAATAAAAAAAGTTGAACCATAGCGAAATTATTTTTAAATTGCAACTTCAGTAAAAACTAAAAAAGTACTAATGTATATTTTTTGCGTTCGTAATAAACATGATAATTAAAACGGCATTTAGATTGTAAGTTGTTGTCGTGTTAACCTCCTCTGTGGGGATTTATTTGACATATATTTAAAATAATAAAATTTTTCATAAATTTGTACAACACAAATGCATTTTTTTGCCCATTCGTATACGTAGTATTCAATTTTGAAAACGGTTGGTGTAAAAATGCAAATATTTTGTTTATTCGTTATATTGAAAATTCGATAAACATATTATTTGTTATACGGAACGTTGAATGTTTTTTAAAAGATGCCTGCCAGCAGAAATTTTTTGATAATTAAAGAGATAATCTTATTTTCAAAGAGACTTATGGCGCGTAAAAAAAAATAAATTTGTTGAATTTGAAGCTTACGCAGCGTATACCTCCTTACGCCAAACGCATCATATTTCGGACTTAAAATCCCTAATCGTTGTCATGCCACCCTCGGTTTTCAGGACAACAACCTCGGAAATAACCGTTGAAAATGCAAACAATTAAATGTGGGTCGGACCAAATAATAATGTATTTAATTTGCCGAAAATGGCAACACTGTTACTGAACGAACAAAAGCATTATCTAAAGAATGAATGTTTTCCTTTTCACATATTGAGTTATTTTATTAAGACAAAAAAACTCAAACATCTCCATTCTGACCGAACTCAAAAGCATAATACGTACAAATGAGAGCTTAAAAACAAGATGGATCTCAAATTATTGAGTCACTTGATTATGCAGCCAGTATTACCGCTGGCAATTTTAAAAAAGTTGCACAAAAACCAACTTTAGCAACTGGCATTAAATGTACATTAGGATTATGACTTTTTTACAATTTAATATTAAAATATTATTTAAAACATTCACGCCTTATATAGGTCTAAGAAAAAATTATTAAAAAGTCCACGCCTTATATAGGCTTAGGAAAAAATGATTTAAACAATGCAAGCCCCATATAGGCCTAGGAAAAAATCCACGCCTTATATAGGCCTACGAAAAACTCAGTTAAAAAATCTATGTGTATGAAATGTCTTGATTTTTCGATGGATCGGGATGTCCAGGAGTCGGAATGAAGTCCGGAAATTTTACCAACACATCCTTCTGTAGAAATGAAGAAGAAAACTTGGTAACAGATAAAGACAGTGTGTTGAAGATCTGGAAGGAGCCTTTTGCAAAGCTTCTGGTATTAAATAGTGGAGGTGAATAAGACACCGCAGAAACAATAAGAGATGACGGTGTAGTATAGCCAAGAAGAGGTCAGAATGGCAATTAATCGACTGAAGAATAATAGAGCAGCAGGCGAACTATTCAAGAACGGTGGTCAGACACTGATCAGGAGCATGCACCAACTGATTAGTATAATTTGGCTAGAGGAATACATGCCCACTGATTGAAACCACAGCATACCGTGACCCGTGCACAAAAAGGACAAGACGATATGTGTCAACTATAGAGGAATAGGTATCCTTCCCATCGCATATAAAGTTCTATCCAGCGTGCTGTGTGGACGACTGAGGCCAATTGTTAATGATATTATTGGATCTTATCAATGCAGCTTCAGACCTGGCAAATCGAAACATACATCGATTTCACCTATTCGTCGACTACAAAGCCCAATCAACTCTGAGGTGTTTACAGCCATGTCTGCGTTTGGCATTCCTGCAATTTGAATACGGCTATGCAGGATATCTCTAACTGGCACAAGGCCAACAGTTAAATTCGGAATGGACTTTTCAGAGCTCTTCATTACCGAACGAGAATTCAGACAAGGTGACAGTTTGTCGTGTGACCTTAACATCCTATTGGAAATGGTCATACGTGATGCAATGTGAACAAAAATTGCACTCTGTACACCAAACAGCACATTTTACTCGCCTACCCCGACGACATCGACATAATGGGTCGAACATTGCGAGCGGTAACATCCACCTTTGAACGAATTGAGTAGGTCTGGCAATAAACGCCGAGAAGGCCAAGCTGATGGTATCAACACGCAAGACGTCCTTGGACCAACTTTGGAACTTGAAATCTACTGCTTCGAGGTAGTCAATGATTTTATATACCTCGGTACCGCCATAAACAAAACTAATAACATTAGCTTTGAAATCCGGAGAATAATAGTATTGGCCAACAGATTCTACTATGGTCTGAGTAAGCAATTTAAGAAATATCACCGTCGAATGAATATCACCGTCGAATGAATATCACCGTCGAATGAACCATGAGCTGTACCATCTATTCTTGGACATCGACATAGTCAGACGTATCGAGCTGCAGCGACTACGTTGGCTAGGTAATGTCGTGAGAATTGATGAGGATGCCCCAGTTCAAAAGGCCTGTAAAAGCGAACCACAAATCCGATGGAAAGATCAAGTAGAAGTCAACATCTCGGAACATGGTCTTTCAAATTGGATGAGCTGCGCTCAAAACCGACGCGCATGGAAATCTTTTTTAAGCTCGGTTTATGGAACAAACGTTCTGTCACAAGCCACCTAAGTAAGTATTGAGAATTTTAATGTAATCCCGAATTTGCTTTCCTTCTTACCCATGCATGCTAAGTTGTGCTTCTAGGACATAAATTTGGGATATTACAAACTCTTGGGTCTGGAGAAACTTATATTATATTCTTATATATCTCTGCAGTTCGTTGTAATTCATAATTCAATATTTATTTCAAATTAGAACTTATTTCTCCATAAGAACATTCCATTCTTCTATTTCATTGAATCTGCATTTAGTTCCACCCGTTCATTTTATAGAATCCAAAATAGTTCAACTGGTATTCACAGCTAGATTTATTCTGCCGTTATACATCACACTCATTCGTAAACACAACGGCATATCAGAATTTTCTTTTATCTTCCCTCTTCGTAATATTTTCAACTGGTCCCTATATGGTTCATTTCAGTGAACCGTTCAAAATACGGCATTGTTGTTTTACAAAAAATTACAATTGGAACGGCAGCAGCAAGAAATAAATAAACAAAATAATTAATTATTACAACACAAAATGGAAACAAATGACTTAACACAGTTATCGGAAGAGTTAATACAACGTTTGGGAAGTGGCGGAGACTTAGGTGGGTATCCAAAATCCCCAGTTCGTGATGAAGGCGGATGCTCAATAATCATCAGCGTAACATTTCCTGGGAAACAGGAAATACTTTTCTAGTCAAATAATAATAATTATTGTTTTTGTTTGTCTCTTCTAGAGGGCATGATGGCCAATGAATTGTTCCAACAAGGCGACCTGTACATGTCCACTCAGGATGATAGTAATTCCAATGCGGGTTCAGATAATGAAATCATTATGCATATGGATATCCGGGAGCCACTGAGAACGTTACAGTAAGTTGCGATGATCATGTATTGGAATTTGTTGGTAATTATTTTGTTGTTGTTTTTTTAGGAAATTATTGGAAAAGAAGGTGGGCCTTAGTCTGCAGGGTTATGAATTTTGGCTGCAGGATGCCCAGGAGGTAAGAAAGATGAATAATTGTTTGCTATGATTGTTATTAATGAGGGAATTTTTATTCCAGTTGGAACCACACAAAAACCTTGTTGACCAGTGTGTCAAGGGTGAGGGCTTGGTACAGATTAATGTGGAAATTAAATACATAATTAAACGCATAAACATATTGGATGTTTTAAAACCCACCGAGGATGCCTTAGGTATGTAAAATTGGATATTTATATGTGGAGTAACAGAGTCAAATAGATTCATTGAAGGGAAACAAAGGTCATTACCGATAAAAGGGTAGGATATAAAAAAGAAAAACGACGGGCCGAACTTCTTAATGTTGTTAAAAAAGTTAAAAAACGTCTGGAATGAACTTTTTTATTCAACAAGAATTCGAAAAACAGTTTATGGTGTCGGATTTTTATACTGCTGTCCTGTAAAGACATAGACCACCATTGGACATTTTCAGATAGAGATAGAATTGACACTAAGAAATCGGAATGCCACGGTTTAAAAATATTTGAAAAAGGTCCGTTATGTTTGGTCTATACCAAATAATGGAACTATATCAAAATATCCTGCATATATGTTTTCAATCTTGCAACATCACGGAATCTAAAGTTACAAAAACTTCGTTGAAAAACTCGTGTAAAACATCAAAATACCGAACTTTGTATGTAGGATATGACCCTCCAAGAATCCGGAATCAAAATTATCGTTAGAAAATTGCGGATAATATCAAAATATAGAAAATGGGAAGGTACTTTTGAAAATGAGCCATGTCGAACATCCTTTGTGTGTAAAATGTCAAAGCGCTATCTTAAATATTACGATCCCTATCCTGATCTTCAAAAAAAGTTATTACAAACAAATTCAATATCCACCCCAATTTATGTTGGAGGTTACAAAAATGTTCCTCATTTATATCGCTTCCGAATCTAAGCTAATGAAGTTCTCTAATTTATAACGATATTCAAAATTGATTGCGGATTTTCCTACATCCTTATGCCCGCCCACATCTATTAAGGGTCTCACCAATACACATATTTTCGACTTTGCTATCTCGAGCTTCAATGAAGCTATTATGCCTCTGAATATCCTCTATTCAAAATAGAAATACTAAAAATATATATTTTTCTTTAGCCGCCCTTGCCGCTGAAGAAGCATTTAAAAGTGATGTGTCCACCGATGATGAAGCACCCGTACGCACAAGTGAATCACATGATGACACTGAAGAGGAAACTAAACCGAAGAAAATAAAACGTGAACTTACAGAGCTCAATGAATCGGCGGCGTCAAAATTGAAAGATAAACCCTGTCTCAATTGGGTACTCGATAGCAAATTTCGCCGTGAACAGACGCGACTTAAAATACCCGATGATCCGAATGAATGGACGGTGCCGCAAGTGAAATATTGGTTTCAATGGGCAATGCGGGAATTTCAGTTGGTGAGTACATTTTTTTATAAAAACAAGCCTTAAAAAGTCTTCGCCTTATATAGGCCCTTGAAAAAAAATTCTTAAAAAAATCCACACCTTATAAAACCTTTGAAAAAAATTCATAAAAAATCCACGCCATCCATGGCCTTTAAAAAATTTTTTTTTTAAAAATCCACGCCCTGATTTGGTGGCTTGAAAAAAGTCTTCTTAAAAAAGTTTACGCTCTGATTTGGTGTCTTGAAAAAAAATTTCTTTTTTAAAAAATCGACGCCTTGATTTGGTGGCTTAAAAAAAGTCTTCTTTAAAAAATCTTTAAAAAATCCACGCCTTGATTTGGTGGCTTGAAAAAAGTCTTCTTTAAAAAATCCACGCCTTGATTTGGTGGCTTGAAAAAAGTCTTCTTTAAAAAATCCACGCCTTGATTTGGTGGCTTGAAAAAAGTCTTCTTTAAAAAATCCACGCCTTGATTTGGTGGCTTGAAAAAAGTCTTCTTTAAAAAATCCACGCCTTGATTTGGTGGCTTGAAAAAAGTCTTCTTTAAAAAATCCACGCCTTGATTTGGTGGCTTGAAAAAAGTCTTCTTTAAAAAATCCACGCCTTGATTTGGTGGCTTGAAAAAAGTCTTCTTTAAAAAATCCACGCCTTGATTTGGTGGCTTGAAAAAAGTCTTCTTTAAAAAATCCACGCCTTGATTTGGTGGCTTGAAAAAAGTCTTCTTTAAAAAATCCACGCCTTGATTTGGTGGCTTGAAAAAAGTCTTCTTTAAAAAATCCACGCCTTGATTTGGTGGCTTGAAAAAAGTCTTCTTTAAAAAATCCACGCCTTGATTTGGTGGCTTGAAAAAAGTCTTCTTTAAAAAATCCACGCCTTGATTTGGTGGCTTGAAAAAAGTCTTCTTTAAAAAATCCACGCCTTGATTTGGTGGCTTGAAAAAAGTCTTCTTTAAAAAATCCACGCCTTGATTTGGTGGCTTGAAAAAAGTCTTCTTTAAAAAATCCACGCCTTGATTTGGTGGCTTGAAAAAAGTCTTCTTTAAAAAATCCACGCCTTGATTTGGTGGCTTGAAAAAAGTCTTCTTTAAAAAATCCACGCCTTGATTCGGTGGCTTGAAAAAAGTCTTTTTTAAAAAATCCACGCCTTGATTTGGTGGCTTGAAAAAAGTCTTCTTTAAGAAATCCACGCCTTATTTGGTGGCTTGAAAAAATATTCTTTAAAAATTTAAACATTCAAAAAATATTTTTAAAAACATTTTATTTCTATTTTTGCAGGCCGATGCTAACATCAATGATTGGTCAATATCTGGTCGCCATTTGTGTTCTCTGTCCCACGAAGAATTTCGCAAGAAAATACCCACCGATCCGGGTAATGTCTTCTGGACCCATATTCAACTGCTCAAAGAATGTAAATTTGTATCGGTTGTACATAAGGCAGCAGAGACAGCATTAGCTGCCCCGGAGCCCAGACAAGGTAACTCATCCACAGTGCTGCCCACCACACTCACCAGGGAACCGAAAATAATGCGTAAAACATTCCATACATTGAAAAAAGAGGGTGGGTACGCGTTCATAACCTTGATTGAGTAAATAATTTAAATTTTTTTCTTCTTTTCTCTTTTCATGCTAACAGCAGCTTTAAATGAAATAAACATGACCACTCACAGTTTGGTGGCGGCCAGTCTAGGGCACACTTCCTACGGTGTGGGTACGGGTAATAATGGTCAAGTCCAGTTGTGGCAATTCCTTTTGGAAATACTAACCGATCGTGAACATGTGGACATTATACAATGGGTCGGCGAAGATGGTGAATTTAAATTAACCGATCCGGAAAAGGTGGCCCGTCTCTGGGGTGAAAAGAAAAACAAACCGGCGATGAATTATGAAAAATTATCGCGAGCATTACGTTATTACTATGATGGTGATATGATATCGAAAGTATCGGGTAAACGTTTTGCCTATAAATTTGATTGTGACCTGAAATTATTAATTGGTTATACGGCGGCAGAGTTATCGGCCTTGGTTAATGAGAAATCATTTGTAGATGAATCAGTCTACCTCGAGAAAATGGACAGTAAAACAGATGAAGAATGACCTTGGGTTAAGGTGAAAGAGGAGCCATTATTTACCCTGCTGGAGGAGCATATTATTGAAGATTGTCCGGATATACAATCTGATTAACATTTAATTTCGTATTCTTTTTTTCGTACGTACATACACTTTTTTAGTTTACATTATTACTTTTTATTGTGTTTTGATTATATTATTGAGTATCATATTTTATTTTGTATTACATTCATTCATCCATTATTTTGGCATTTATAACATTTTGTTTTCAACACACTTTACATACATACAACATCTATTAATTATTATACCTTGATTTAAGTTTAGTTTTTAAGTTTTTTTCTTTTCTTCGGTTTTTTTTCGAACTCACTTCATTGAAATTGTGCTAAGATTTTGTTATACAACCTTCTTTCATTTCACATATAAAATAATATGTGTATATATTAAAAAATATAAAAACAAAAACATAAAAATATTGTTAAGAATTAAAATATTGTTGTAACAACAAAATACGATTTGTCGTTAAAAATCGATACCTTTTTGTAAAAATAAAAAATATATATTTTTTTATATACAACAGAAATTTATGAAAATATATTTAATATATCATTTACCATAAGGTGGAGTGTTCCAAAACTTTGTAAATTTTGCCATGTCCACCACAACCTCTAAAGGGCGTAGATTTCTTAATTTTTTTTTTCGAAGCATATGAAAGGCGTGGATTTTTTAAAATATTTTTTTCAGAGACCAATACATGACCTGGTGTTATAAACACCTTTTTCCGAGAAATTTCAATAGGTATTGTCAATATGGAATAAAAGTTTACAATTTCCCCTATCCATTTGTATAAACTTTACGAAAATCGGTTAAGTAGTAGTTGAGTTATTTGCATTTGAATTCAACCATTATGCGAAATATAGCTACTGTTCGGTGCTGGGCGCCTATTACCTGAAAATGAAAATCACACAAAAATGCATCTTTTACCAAAGGCAAGTTTTCGTCTTTCAAAAGGGCTGCTGAATACTAAAGCATACTTTCAGGCGGAGGGTATAGTGCTTAGCGAATATTATAATTTTATGAGTCACCCTATCACATTGTTTGTATAATTTTGTGAGTCACCCTATCACATTGTTTATATAAT